TCCTCCGGGAGGTCTGCCACAGGTGTCTGGCTCGGGAACACCAGACACTCCTAAAAGGAAAATAGAAGGGGGCAAGTGGGGGCACTACTTCTCAATAAACACTCGTGGATATAAATTTTCACAGCAATCTCGCGCTATTTATTCGCCTTAATGCACACTCTCCACAACCTCGCGCCTCTCTCTCTCTCCCTATATATATATATATTGGCACACTATTCTCAAGGGAGATATTTTCGTGCGGTCACCTCCAGTCGTCCTCTTCGCCGAACTCCTCCTGGCTCGACTGTTGGTGGCCGGCACCTAGGCTACACACACACACACACACACAACCTCAAGCATACCTTCTGCTCAATTCAATCTTTCCTATTCCTATATAGATCCTACACCCATTTATCCTGACTCACTCGGATCGTCCCCAAGCCTTTACCTTGAAATAACACCTAGTGCACCGTCCTCCGTGAAGTGACCTTCTCTCTGTCCTCGCCGTCACCCGGTGCTACCTGGAGTTCGTCTCAATCGTCGCGTAGACTCGGCAGCACGGTTAACTCTCGGGCAGTATTGTTCGGTGTTCTCCTATGCTCTCCTTTTGGATCCCTTTCCTCACTCACAGATCTACTTGTCACTTTTTCCTATATCTAATCACTATCTCTTTCCTATCTGCTCTCTATGCCGCTCCACGCGATACTGACTGCGTTACGGCAGTACACTTCAACAGATGCGTGCGCCCCTCCCGCGTATACGAAAAATCTCCAACACGCCTAAAAACCGGTAAATTATTAGAGGTTTGAAGAACTAGGGAATCGAAGCGGCCGCTCGGCGCTTTCACCTCTCTGACATGTCGCGAGCCCTCGCCTCTCTCCTTCTCTATCATACACACATGCTCACTCAATCATACCTCACACACTTTCAATCTCTTTTATGGTCTTTGGTCCTTCTCTCTCCTCTGGCTCGTAGTCCGTGGCACTGAGAACACACATTAAGTAATGTGTTATAGATTTACACATAGAAAATATATATGTTATTCTAGGACTCGGTAGCCGCCGATAACTTGCCCCGAAATATAGGTATACTGTGGCGTGATAGCTTTAGCTACCACGTCACAGGGTCTACTTTTGGATCGTCCAAAAAATTTTAGCCAAGTTCATCTTTTGAAAAGTTTGCCTGACTGGGTATTTAACTCGTGTCCTACGGAAGCAGTCGTACCTCATACTAGCTCCTCACATACTGAGCTACAATTGCTATTTATGTACATACAAATACTGGCCATACCTAGTCTCAAATGACGAGCTTTCTTTCTGCATTCAGAGTTTTGCTTCTTTTTGCTTTCACTAAGAAAGAAATCGATTGTGTTGGACAAGTTAAGGTCAACATTATCAAACCGTATATATATATTTAACTAGATGGCGCAGCAAGAAAGTGGGAGTCCTGTCGATTACCAAAGTTATGCAGCATTTGGCGTAGCCAGTACTTGGATGGGTGACCGTTAAAGCCTCGCCGTTTCACCTTTGCTGTTCGCTTCATAGATCGATTGACTGTTTCTCTGTTTTTTCAACATCGTAAGTGGGAGGTGTTCTAAATTTAAGCCCCGTTGTCGAAGTCTGCAGCTTGAACAATCGTTTTATCATACCCTGACGGGAAGTTCGCATTCCCGTCCTGATTTCAGGCTGGGAAGTTAGGCATTTCTGACCAGGACGGGAATTTTTTGTTACGCACTAACGTACTGCGCAGCTCTCTCCTAGTTACTTTCTCATGTCAGTCGTCAGCTACTTATGTGTATATAGCTGTAGTCGACAATGTACTATATTCAGCTGACAAAAACCAAAACACTCGGATCATAACCTTAATACTAATGATGTGCGAGTATTTAGATTGGAGAGTGTAAAATAAATAATTTTAGCCAATGAGTAGTGTTATACTCAACAATTGAAAATAATTAAGTACTCAGTTTCTATACGTCTGAGTCCTGAAAGCGATTCTGTGACTATATGAATGAAGCTCAGAATCTTCTGTATTTGGTGGCATACCTATAGGTCTGTTTTGTTTCCAAGGATATTTATGTACTAATATAATCTTCATAGTGCTGATACGAAAGATTTTAATGTAAATTTTGTGTGTAATTGAATTTTATACGTATCTGAACGACTTCTACGAGCGTGGCTGCTGCATACAGTACCGCAGTCGCTACATATGATTTTCTGTCTCACTTGCTCTTTATTTCCCTAGAGTCCCTAGATCAACACACCCATGAACGTTCACAACGAACGACAAAACGACTGCATGTTGATTTTATATTAAATTAAGCAACAAATAACTTTTTTGGGTCGCAAACTTCCCGCAGGGTATGAAGAAAGATCGTATACGTCACTCGTCAAGAAAATAGCACATCACCGTCCACGTATTTTGGACGTGGACGGAAATGTACTACTTCCCTGCCTCGTGACGTAATATACTATACCTTCCAATCCCATCCCAATTCCTTCCCAGTCCTAAGTGCTAAGTTCCTTAAGTATTGCCTCTACAAGAAAGCCTACCGTAAAGCACTATAACATAATATATTTATATACAAAGTAACCAAAGCCAGCGTCTGAAGGATGTCTACGATCTGAAATTCCTAGTGAATAGTGACTAACGTGAGTCGAGTGCCCCCATGAATACATCGAAGATGTGCTAAACCACTAATAAATGTAGTTAATAACTCATTAGGAAATAAAACGAAGAGATGTTTCATTCGTGAGTTCAATTGAAATGTTTAATATCTTTCTTCTACACGTATCAGATCTTTATAGGGAAGGGAGCTAGTTCAAAAAGCTTACTGCTGGGAGGTAAGGGTTTCTGTTGATCAGGAGGAAGATCTAGGTTAGCTTTTAAGAACATAATTTCGAGATTGAAGCAGTCTTGTTAATCAACAACTATCCAGTAAAACTTGATTAAATTAATTTTCTTTGGGTGCAGAACAAAGCCAAAAGCCCTCTGTGAAATATACTAGTTTAAAAATGAAGAGCTGTGGGATCACACTTCTAACGTTTTAATCGTCTGGTTCTTTTAACGTTAGTGCAGTTTTAGTATAAATCACATGCAGTAAGCTGTGAGTTTTAATAATTTTTTTATAATTTAAGTAATATCACAGAGAATTCCAGCTAAGATACTTGGACACCATAGGCTGCAAGATAACAACCTTCTTTTTCACGGATTCAAACTGCAAATGAATAGAGTTAGACTAAAATATTAGTTTTATTCCCTTGTGCTATTCTCCAACAGTACTGTTGACTCGGGAAAAATTTCTCGAGAAGCTGTATCTACTGGGTAAAATTTGCCAGACTTATGACGCCAGTTAGCCTGAGAAATGAGATTTTCAATTTCAACGGTGATAAAATCGAAATTTTTTGACATTTCCAACTCTGGGCTCAGATTCTGAATCAATCTTAACTTGCAAAGAGGAATTCCTCCTTTATTAGTGAGCGATTGTAGCTTTTTGGTCTCAATTTTTGTTTATGATTTGTCACGTGCACCCGACAAAGCATCTTTGGGTGACGTCTTGTCATCAAGCTTATATTCCTCTGGGAAAACGTTCTTTGCCTTAAAAAGCAATTTTTTAATAACTCTTTTTAATAAGTGACAGTTCCTAATTTGTTAATTCATCGGTTCTTTGTCATTGAATCGCTAGTAAATACTTGAAGGGTTCTCACTCTAGCAGATCACCCATGAATATTGAAAGTTCGTTTCAAGGGAGCCAAAAAAAAGTGCTCACTGTGACGCTATGTCTTCCAGTTTGGTTAAGAACTAACTCATCTAGGGTCACCAAAGCATCTAACTGATCCGGAAAATCTTTAACGCATCCTTTACTTTAAAGTAGGAATCACAAACAATCTTAAAAAGATCAGACTTCACGCATTCATGCTTCAGATTATTATAATTATCGCCTAATCCAAGGATCTAATAGTGATTTATTTTTTATTTCTGGTATCGTTTATTTAAATAATCTAGATGAGATATTGCTAATCTTTGATTCACTGTATCCAAACCAATCTTTGTCAATTCACAACCGCCTTTACTATCAGAGAATGTAGAGCTTGTTGTACTTTCAAGAAATTGTTCATTGTACTCTAGTTGGCTAATAGAAGGTTATAAAAAAATAGTAACGGGGAACTCGGGCGGAATCTTCAGACCAAGAGTATAGAATTAGTTTTTTTTTTGATTCTCAAACCTTTATGTTTCATAACTTAAATAATTAATTTTAGTTACTATAGCCTGGTAAGATAGTTATGATTTACCATTAAACGTAATAATTAATTTATCTAAGTCATGTTAGATTTTTTGAATGAATTTCACAACTTAAAAAATTGTTATGTAATTCTATCATGTAGAAATAAATTAAAAATTTTGAGTTTAAGTAAGGCGTCAAACGAATAAGATTAAAATTTAAATAAATTGCAATAATGTGTTCTAGTCCAAAGTTGGTATTAAATGCTTCACAGACTCAGTTAATTTGTAAATCTAATAGACGTCAATATAGTTTTATGTAATTTGTTACAAATAAATATCAATTGGTAACGATCATTATGCTATTGATATGCTGGTACTCTAGAAACTTTAAAGGTCGAGATTCTGGGAAGAAATAAACATTGGTAAATATCCTCATCAGATAGTAATGAAAACTTTAATTATTTGAGTAATTCTCATTTTTTTCTGTCTTTTAATAACCTTTCAAAATTATTACATAATAATTAAAGTGTTAAAAGAAATGATTTTGAAATTCAGTAGAAGCAAGAAATAGAAAAAAAAACTAATATATTACGCCCTTTTATTTCCTTCAAATTTGAAATATCATTAGCAAAACCTGTTATTAAAACCAATTTTGAAAGTTATTCAGCAACTTCTATTAATGGAATAAAAATTGATAAAATTACTGAATATGTATCACACTGTCTTAATGTACTTGCTTCAGATTAATAGCAACGAGTGATTGTTGTCCTTTATTTCACAATGCAGTACAAAATGCACGAATAATTAGTGATTTCCTTTCTCTTCTGACAGGACACGAGACAGAGAAAACATCTTAATCACCACTAAGATGCACTCAAAGTGATATATTATAATGGTATGGTTACTTAAAAAGATTGTGGGAAGCTTTTTCTTCTTGCATGGTACTTCCTTTTGCTCTCAAGCATTTATGCACAAGTGGGCTCTAAAAATGGCCATCCAAGCATCTTTTCTCACTGCACATATCCAACTCAACGGACTTTATTCGAATAGGAGCTTTTTGACTCGATCTCTGGACTGCATTATTTGATGATATAAGGAAGAAGGTTAAAACAATTAACTTGGCATTTCTTTGATGTAGGAGTAAGAAAACCAGCTTTTATCTTACTTTCATATGTTAAGCTTTCAATCATATCTTCAACTTTGAAAGAACTAGTCGATGAATAAACTCCTTGTAACAGAAATTAGCTTGCATATTATTAACTGATTACTCTTACTTAACTTTGATTGCTGGAGAAAGGAAACCTTATCTTAATAAATTTTACAACACAATAGCTCACTTGTCTTGGTTGTTACTTTAAAGCCTTATTTACCAATCAAAAAAAGCATATAAAGGCAAAGTCAATTATAAATGAAGTGTTTAGAGTAGTTTTTAACGATAAAGAGTCTTAGGATATTGTCTTTAGTACTAAAATTTAGTTTATAAGTAATAACTTAACACTTACTTCCTTTTCTTCATCAAAATCGTCTTCGTCGTCGGATCCGTGAACTGACGTTGCTGGAGTAGTATGCCTGGAAGATGATGGAGATGACGGCTCACTTAATGGCTTTGGATAATTCATACGTTTAATGCTTATTTCTGAGAATTCAGGCACCAATTCAGGATAAACCTCTATTAAAGCCTTGAGTCTTGCATGTCGATAGAACTGAAAAGAAAATAATTCGTTCAAATCGTGCATAAGAAGAGATTTCTACGTATTATTACCAATACTAGCTCGAAAACCTTAGGTTTTAATATAAATTTTCAGCTTCTATCACAAATTCAAATTTAATGATAAGACAAGATTGCATAGCTATGACTTAAAATTCGCAATCTAAAGACTTAGTTGGGGTCTAGAAAAATTAATTATTTATTTGGTGGGTATAACTTAATGATATTGCTGAAAATGCATTTTTTAAATGAGCTTTTGAAATTTGTGTAATCAAAATGTTAAAACAAATTTTTCTAATTTTTTTAAGTGAAACGTCTACACCTTCATTATAGAAGACTCTATAAGTAAATAAATTCAATGCAATGAAAAACTATCAGATTCTTGGTGGTTAGGAGGATGAGAGGCTCAGGAAAGACAAAATATAGTGCTTACACAGTGAAAAAAGTGGTGGAAAACCAGCGTTGACTAACTCTGTTAAGAACAGGAGGTTACGCTACGAAAATAAAGCGTCAGAGAGAAAGAGGGAGAGAGAAAGAGTATAAACAAAGGGGTGCAGGAAAGACAGAAAAACGAATTAAGTGAAACGTGTGTTGTGCCATCTACGTCAATCAGTAATTACAGTGGCATTTGCAAAAAAAATTAACAATCATAAAATATGCAGCATACCATTATTAATTTATTTAAAAAATTCATAATTAACACACATTAAAGTTTAGCCATATTGTCTCGTTATAAAGAAAATCTGCATGCACGTTGCAATATAAGCTTTTATAGCTTACTCAAGGTCTTAGCGCACTTTAAGTGCTTATTCTTTAGTGTGTTAATCTGGCTCAGCAGTCTTTTTTTTATATGATTTTCTTAGAATTTAAAAATTTTTGACCTTCCTGCACTATGCTACTGAAATATGAATTAATATCTGTGTAGTGAGCGTGAAATATTAAATACAAGTGTAATAATATTGTGAAAGCTCCGAATTCAAATCTTTGTTTATATCGTTGGAAAAATGATATAAAACATTCTGCAAAATCCCATATACATGGGACTTCGGCTTTATTTATGTGTCTTATGACCCTCCAGGAGATAATCATATTGGAAACTAGAATGGGGTAGAAATTTTCTTGGTGTAAGCAATACAAGTGCCTTTACGTGAACGATTTCAGAAATGTTGAAGGAAAAAGGTGTTGAATATATAAATAGAAAGACAAAATTCAGAGTACGAGCGCAAAATTAATCCTTTCTATATTTATATGAATACCAAAAGCAATCAATAAATGGAAATATTCCAAATTTGAGATTAAGATCGTTATTTGTTAGATTTTACTAATTTAAGATTATACATAATAAACTATTTTTTTATTAGAATACACGGAGATACTAGGATTTGTAATGGTTATATTTCCTTAATTTTGGTAGAACTACAAAACAAAATAGTAAAGTGCAGGGTTCAAGCCTACTATTGTCTTTTGACTCCTTGCTAGGACTGCTCTCTTCGTTATTTCTCGTTCACTTTTCACTTTAGTTTTCCCTCACTTTATATAGTATTCCTCCTTCCTCTTAGTAGTGGGGAATATTTGATTTAAAAATTACGTGAATGGAACTTTCCGTTAAAACAGGTACATGAATAACGAAGTTATTTAAAAATGTAATATTCCTATTTTTTCGGTAATATGGCTAAAAATTATAAAATAATTAGAATACTGACTTATAATCGTATTGTATCATAAACGCAAGCGAAATACAGTTGTATAGATGTTGCAATTTATCGAAATAACAATAGTATGACAAGTTTCATTTTTCCTTGTATGCATCTATATCTCGTCAAAGAGATAAATGAGTTACAGTCAATCTGAAATAAGTAATAAGTAAGATATCACATGTGTTTTATATAACAAATTAACCATCATATTTGTTGGAATTGTCAGCACCTTAACATTGCTATCACAGCTGTTGCTCTGAGCCAATATACTTCTTCACAATTTGTTTAACATCTTTTTATAGTATTTAGAACATAATTGACACTGAAGTTCTCGGTGCATTAAACTTTTTTTGTGTTACTATTATTTTAAAACAATGTAACGTGCATTATTCTTTATACATACATGTATGACTTAAAACAATTACATAAACAAATGAAAACGTTCAATTATTATTTACTAATAATAACCGTGGAAGTATCGCCTTATTTAAAGAGGTAAAGTGAATAACCCATTAAATTCATCTACATCATAACCACAAAGAGACAGAACTTCCCGTACGTAATTTTCAATTAGGGAAATAATTGACAATATTTATAAGTATTATCAATTCATACATTTATTGTTTACATTGATAATTTATACGTAAATTTATATATACTATTTATAATCCCAGTTTGAAAAACCCGTCTGCCTCTTATCTACTCCATCAACGTATAAGTGTTATAAAAAAATTATTGTAGTATTCTAATTTTATAAATCAACAAATAAAAATTTAATTTTACAACTGTAATTCAAATTATTAATAATAATAAAACTAACCAAATACTTAAGAACGTATAATAATTTTTTTATAACATGTATACTAGGCTATTATATCACAATAAACTTTGTTAAAAAAATTAAATTCCTTGTTCTAAGAAATTCAAGATTAAATTTATTTAACAAAAAAGTATCATCATACAAGAAGAGTATATCATGTCTTGCATTATTGTTAAACGATGAAATATTTAAAAATATAATAACTTTTCAATCATTGCCTTAAGTTTTGTCGACTTATTTATAAGAATTATTTAGTAGAGTCTATTAATAAAGTAAAAATTTCTTTCTAAGCAATATTTTCTACTTCAGTATTTTTTTCTCTTTCTACCTGAATAAATATTTTGTTTTTATTTTTGCATCTTGATAAAGCAACATATAATTCACCATAAGAAAATAGGGGATTTTTTAAATACAAACCTTTGACCTAGGGATTTGTTTATTGTCATAGCAAATGCCACAACGATTGGAAATTGTTTACGATATGAAATAAAAGGTAATGTTGAGCTATTTCCTGTTTCTGAAGTTATTCTTGCAATGAAGGCTCTATTTTCAATTTTTTCTCCAGTTATTACTTCTTCTTTTATATTATACTGTAATAACTCTGTGATTTGTAAACGTATTCCATTACAGAGTCCATCTGATATACTTAAACTTCTAAGTAACATTACTATTGTACCAATTTTTCGACTTAGTTCATAAGGTGGTAATCCTTTACGAATATTATTTAACACCTCCATCGGAAAATTTAATTAAATATTATCGTCCAATTTATCAACTCCTTTATAAGTTGTGTTATCTATACTATAGTAAGTTGTAATTCCTCCAGTTAATTTTTTAAGAATTTTATTATCTAAATAACAGGTATACTCGTATGCGATGTTAGTATGACACTATTCATCAAACAATTATAGACATGAGAAAATACTTGAGAACATACATCATTTGATATCCAATTCTGAGAAGTGTTAAAAGTTTTTATTTTATCTTTCCCGATTTCCAATGATAATTTTTAAAATCCTATATCATTAAAACAAATTTTTATTTCTAGTCTTAAAACTTAGAATAAGTTCCATAAAAATGAAGATTTAATAGTTTGTTCAATTATAATTTTTCTATTAACGTTCTTTAGTACTGGGAGATCTGACGGAAATCACCTCCTAAAATAATTAATTTATTTCCAAAATATTTTTCAGCATTACACAAATCTCTTAACGTTCTGTCTTCTATTTTCAATGCTTTTCTTGGAATCATTGAAGCCTCATCCCAAATAATTAAATCAACTTCTCTTAATTTTTTTTTCATCTGACTTAAATTCTAAAAAGGCACTTTCTACATTATTTCTACATGTAAGTCTAACAGTTCTATGGCTTGTCATCCCTTATAGAAGCAAAATTAAAGCTATGCCAGTCCATGCCATTGACAACATTTTTTTTTATTTTGAGAAACAAAAAAATTAATTAACGTTTTATATAAATAAGTTTTTCCCGACCCTCCCAGACCATCTATAAAGAAAATGTTGTTTTTTTTTGCAAATAATATGAGATGTTTTTTTTTGTCATTATTTGAACTTTTATACATTGTATGAAACATTTCTGAGCTGAAACGTATTTCTTCATCTATATCTTCTTTATTATTCTCAATTTTTTTTTGGTGTACGTAAGTTAAAGCAATTACATAATTTATCTTTTAATTTTAAAATTCGGTCAATATGTAAAATTGAAATTTCTGAATCAAAGCCACTGTCCAGAGTTCTCTTAAACACAGTGAATTTTAAAAAATAAAAAACTTATATTTAAGTAAGATTCAAATTTCAAAAAAAAAATTTTTCAATATACGTAGGAATGTGGTTATTAAAGTTTTGCAATGTAAACAATGATTTGGTGATAATGTTTGATGCAGTCTTCAGTGATGTGTATCATATTTATTCTCTTGGTCAATATAAAATTAATTTTTATGTTNTATTTTAATATTAGAAAGATTTAGAACCTTAATATACACATATTGAATGGATATGGAGTAAGTAAATATTTTTTCACCTTAATATTTTAAAATAGGTTAAATGTGATATGTCGTACTTTTTTATTACTAACATAAATTGTTATTAACTAGGTAGTAATGCATTATTAAATGAATTATAATTTAGATTCATTGTAATTATTTCGTTTTGCCTTTATAAATAAATATTATCTTTCTATGATATTGGTATAAAAAAAAAATTTGTATGTTTCGAACAAGATTATTGAGCAACCATACTATACATAATGATTTTCAACTATTTTATAAATTTCTTTAATTTACTTTAACTATTAATTTTTGTAAGGATTCATCGTTATTTGGCTTAATATCCAGTGTAAACGTTTCTCTTAAAATAACTTTTCCAAATAGTCTATTGTTTGTAGTCAAAAAAATTACGATTTAAGGTAGCTGTTTTTCAATATATATGTATATGTACTATTGGGATCTCAAAACACTGCGTGA